CATGTAGAAATTTTTGAAATGGTGTTATCTTTGGCTATGTGTATTTTCACCAAAAAAAAAGGTTGAGAAGTTAAAGGGTTGACATGTTGTGGGGTTGTTAACCAATGTCATAAAACAATATGCGTACTACTGTTTCATGAGAAACTATTTGTTCTGTAAGCCTTCACCTGAAGTATGATTAAAAAAAAAAAAAAAAATTTGAGTGTTAAACTTATCTTATGACCCAGCAATTCCACTCCTAGGTGTATACCCAAGAGAAATGAAAATACATGTCCACGCAAAAACTTGCACACAAATGTTTACAGCAGCATTATTCATAACAGCCAAAATATGAAAACAACCCAAATGTCCATCAATTGATGAATGGGTAAACAAAATGTGGGATGTCCATAAATGGAATATTATTTAGCAATAAAAAGGAATGAAGCTACATGCTACACAACATGGATGAACCTTGAAAACATCATGCTAAGTGAAAGAAGCCAGTCACAAAGAACCACATGTTGTATGATTTCACTCATATGAAATGTTCAGAACAGGCAAATCTACAGAGACAGAAAGGAGATTAGTGGCTGCCTGGGGCTGGGAGTAAGGGGAGATTAGAGAGTGAAAGCTAAGGGGTATGGGTTTTTTCGGGGGTAATGAAAATGTTTTAGAACTGATTGTTGTGGTGGTTGCATAACTCTGTGAATGTACTAAAACCCACTGAATTATATACGTTAAAGAAGTGAATTATATAGCAAAGTAGGAGACAGAGGAAAGGGTCAGAAGTTGTGGTGAGAGAGTAGGACCCCAGAGTCTGAGATTTCAGAGATGGCCATCATGTGGCTAACAAGGTCTAGAGTATGGCTGCTAGAATAGGTTTCCGAAGGCAAGTGGAGAGAAAGGTCACAGGGATGGGAAACGCACGAGAGATCAGTGTGGACAAGCTGCACGAGAAATGCCACATTCTGAGCTAGAGAAGAAGCCTGTGGACACACGCCCAAGGCCTCAGTATAGCTGGGGAAGATGGACCACATGATGGTGATGGGGGGGAGGGGAACAGGGCGGCACTGCTAAATTTGTGACCCCACCCAGAGTTGGGAGGGCAGAGCGGGGCTCAGCCTCTGAGAGGCCATATTGCAGGTTCCGTTAGGGGCAATCCTCACTATACCCAGGTGGTATTTCGCGGTTGGAGATTACTGTCAAGGGGCCCAATTTCTTCAAAGTTTCCAAATCCAGTGCTGGAACCTCCTGGACCCCCCTGTGGAAAAGAAAAGAAACAAAAATAAATCTGGGGAAAGTTGTAATCAAACCTGTCTTTACAACAGATAACCACGCTCACTACAAATAGTTTTGGCAGAGTCATAGTTGTGAACAAAAGACACAACTGATCCAGTGAATCAGGGGCTTCTACGCGAATTGAACACCCTGGGTAACTACAGAGTCTCCTCTGTTTGAACGGAACAGACCTGGGCTAAGAGCCACTTGAGGGAACTTTCCTACCTCCTGATTCTCTAGTTTGGCGTTCTCCTGCCAGAGGGCTCACTTACCTTCACACCTGGAACAGACCTTAAAGAACATTTTGTCCAACTTCCCTCAGGTCAAAGATAAGCAGTAAGACTCAGAGAAGGGATGGGGCTGGCCTAGGCCACTCGGCCAATTAGGGGCTCAGCCAGGACCAGATCCTGGGCCTCATGACTCTCCACCCTACCAACCCCTCCTTGCCAGTGCTTTGAAGTGGGAAGACTCAGAGTCCTTGTGGATTGGTAAAGGACCCAGGCTGCAGGAGAGCTTAATCAAGGTGATTCTCAGGCTCCAATATGGCAGATGCAAAGTCCCAGGGTAGGAGCATTTGATGCTGTGGGCACCTACAGGGTAGGGAGAGGCAGGCTTCTGAACTGAAGCTCAGTGCTGGGTGCTGCCATGGGCAGCTCTGAAATGGCTGTGAGTGGCAGAGGTTCTGTGAGGTCTGATGGATTGAGAAATGGGAGGAGAGAAGAGAAACCAAGGGGCAAAACAGGGGCAGGAAACGGTCAGGGAAAGGCTGGTCAGCGCTTTGGTGGACAAGATCTAGGGTGCCAGCGGGCCTGGGGAGACCATGAGGAGAGCATTATCAGCTGCGGTGAAGGGACAGGCCTAGGGCCTAGAAGAAAAGGATACTGCCTCCCTGTGCACAAACAGGGCAGGAAGGGAAGGAAGGCACGCACAGATGGAAGGAAATAGCTCAGGCAAAACAGGGCAGGACAATTTGTGGAGGAAAATCTTACGGGGAAAATAAAAGACAAGGCAGAGTTGGGGTAAAGCAGTAACCTGACAACTCAAAAGGGCCCCAATAGGGAAAGACTCTTTTTATGAGACTATTTAATATTCTGAACTGGTACCAAGCTAACTATTATTAAACATGGAGACCATTAAAAAAAATAAATCAACCAACCAACCTAATCATATGCAGTTTGTAGCTTAAGATTTCCTAACACAGTGGTAAAAGTCCATGACCTAGATAGAGATGTTCATCACAGTGTTATTACAACAACAGCAAAAGTGGGGATGGAATGTGAAGATCCAGCAGCAGGGGAATAGTTAGTATATCCTGGCTCCTCTGTGGGATGGAATGTTACACTGCCATTCAGAATCACAGACTGTGAGAAACTATGTGGCAATGTGGAAAAATTAACATACTATGTAATAAATTGAAACCAAGTGGGGCACAAACAGGGATACTTCTGAGACTTAACTAAACACCTCATGGGATTGCTTTACAGGGTCTGAAGGCTTAGGGTCATAGTCTCATGGGACAACTCAGTCAATTGGCATAATATAGTACACAAACTTTATGTTCTACATCCTAGCTTGGTGAGTAGCATCTGGGGTCTTAAAAAAACTTGCGAGCAGCTGTCTAAGATACAACTATTGGTCTCTATACGTCCAGAGTAAATGAGAAAGAAGAAAATAAAAGACTCAGAAGAAACTAGTCCACAGGACTAAGAGTCTACACAAACCACAACCTCATCTACCCTGAGACCAGAAGAAATAGATGGTGCCCAGTTTCCACTACTGACCATTCTGATCAGAACACAATAGATGGATCCTGATAGAATGGGAACAAAATGTGGAACAGAACTCAAATTCTTAAAAAGTTCAGACTTACTGGACCAGTTGAGGCTGGCGGACACCCCGAGACTATCGCCCTGAGATACTCTTTAAACCTTGAACCAAAACTATTTCATGAGGTCATCTTTTAGCTAAAAACAGATTGGCTTATAAAATAAACAGTATCATCTGTGAGTACTGTGCTTCATTAAAAAATGATCTGTATGAGACCAAACAATCAACATTTACTCAAAAGCAATTCGAGAAGGCAAGGGGGCAGGGAAACTAGATTACTAGAAATGGAACAATCAGAATGGAAATAATGAGAAAGTTGACACACTGTGAAAAACGTAACCAATGCCACTGAACAAACTGTGTGGAAATTGTTAAACGGGAACCTAATTTGCTGTGTAGACTTTCACTGAAAACACAATAAAATATTTTCATTTTATATACATAAAAAACTGAAGCCAAGTTTGTATCCTTCAATGGAGGCTAAGTCCCTTTTGCCCAGTGTACTTACTGGGATAGGAGTAGGACCCAATGAAAAGGGGGAAGCTGGAAATCCTTGGGGCTCAGTCTCTGTAGGAAAACCCCACTTCCCTCTTCTGTTTTTGATAAGCCATGATGACAACAGGAGGTGATCTCCCACCCTACCCCAAAATGGCAACACAAAACTGGCTGGAGGATGCATTTGTTCTGTTTGAGAACATCCTGTTGTAAAATCTTTTTTTGCCTAGAAACTTGGGATGGGACACTGCCTCGGCTCCAAGCTACCTGTGCCTCTGAAACATGGTAAATGTGTCAGCAGACCAACTGCAATGCTTAAATCTCTGGGAAGTGCACCTAAAATAGTGCACACTGCCACTCAGAGGATGTGACCTGATTCTCAAAGATGCCCACAGAGAAGTCATTGCTCGCTTCCTTAGCAGGCTACTAAAATAGATCTCTTTTTAATCTAAATTAAATACTTTTTCCTTAATCATAATCCTTCTTCTCCTTTGGGCTTCTGGGGAAATGGAGAAGAGCAGGTTAGCGTCTGCCAGTGGACTACCTTCAAATAGCATCTTATCTCAGGGCTAACCTGACCAGAGGTCACAAACCGGATGTGTACAGGAACCAGGCAGCAGGCACCGCGATGGAGCAAAGGAAACCAGGTGGGAGCTGGGAGGCCCCAGGGAGTGCCTGCCCTGTCTGGAGCTCGGGGGACAGTGAACTCACCCCCGAGTTGCTAAACTATTTGCCCTCGAGTCCACTCTGACTCATGGTGACCCCATGTGTGTCAGAGTAGAATTGTGCTCTATAGGGTTTTCAATGGTTGAGTTTGGACGTAGATTGCCAGGATTTTCTTCTGAGGCACCCCTGGGTGGACTCACACCTCCAACCTAACACAGATGATCGTGTTAACCGTGCTAGATCTCCTAATTTTTGGAAAGAAGGAAATTTCCTGATTTTAAAATGTTGGCAGTTGATTCAATTAAACCACCTACTCTGCAGTCAACCAAAGGACAGTTTCCAACCTCTGAAATTCAGTGCTTTTCAAATTGTGTTCCTGTGAGCAGAGAAAGAGCCTCGGGGTAGCCTGGGCAAAGGGGAGGGTGGGTAGGTGGGGCTTGTGGGGCTCTGCACTTCCTCCCCCTCCCCAGCCACAGCACTTCTGTTTTTTTCTGCTTTGGCTCCCATCTGTAAGCTTTCACTTAGGGACAAAAAGTTCTGCTGGTTAAGAAAAAGTTTGAAAACCACTGAAATTCCCCAGATTAGAAAACAGAGGTCCAGAGGAGAGAAGTGTCTTCCTGTAGGTGGCAGGAAGGTGACTGGAACCCAGCTGTCCTGGCTGGCAGGCCTGGGCTTGTCCACTGCTCATCTGGCTCCAGGACCTTAGCCTCCAGCAGCACCTTGGCCTCTAGCCACCCTTCACACTTGACACAAGTTTCATGGGCTGATACACATGGGTTCTTCCGAGCCACGTTCATATCTGCACTGACAGGCTGATAGGGGCAATGGTGGTTCAGTGGTAGAATTCTCATCTTCCATGCTGGAGACCCAGGTTTGATTCCTGGCCAATGCACCTCATGCACAGCCACCACCCATCTGTCAGTGGAGGCTGCACGTTGCTGTGATCCTGAATGGGTTTCAGTGGAGCTTTTAGACTAAGACGGACCATGAAGAAAGGCCTGGTGATAAACTTCTGAAAAATCAGCCGATGAAAACCTTATGGATCACAACTGTCCGATCCCATTGTGCATGGGGTCACCGTGAGTTGGTGGCCAACTAGACAGCAGCTAACAACCCCCACCACCACCACCACTGCTGGGCTGAGCCTCACCTCCAGCCCTTGAAGGAGCCACGTGTGAAAGTCACAAGACAGAGGGACCCCTGTCCCTGCAAACTGCTCATCTGTGTTCTATCCCACAAGAAAGTCTACATCAAAGGGCCTAGGAGGCAAAGTCTGGGCACTGGGAGGGTCCTTTTCTACTGGCATTTTTGAAGGAAGTTGCACTTGCATCACATGGAGGTGATGCCCTAGATGCCCTATTTACTGGTGAGCAACCCAGAGCCCCAGCAGGGCCATGCCCACATTTTCCAGAGGTTAAAACAAGACCACACTCCTCAACCCCTCCCTAGAGACTGGTCTTCCAGGAGGGCAGGGCTATCTCTGGACAGATATTTCAGGAATACCAGGAAGGATCTTTTGCCTGCCCTCAATTCCACAAGCAGAGATCAAGATTAAAACAAGAATGCGCTCCAGGAGAGAGTAGGGCTGAAAATCCATAGTAAGATACAGAAGGCTGGTGGCAAGTCCTTTCAAAAGACTGGCTTTTTGGTGGGACTGTAAAATGGTGTAGCCATTTTGGAAAACAGTCTGGCAGTTCCTGACAAATTAAACTTAAGAGTTACTATACTAAAAAAAAAAAAAAAAAAAAAAAATCTGCTGCCGTCGAGTCGATTCTGACTCATAGCAACCCTATAGGACAGAGCAGAACCGCCTCATAAAGTTTCTAAGGCTGTAATCTTTATAAAAGCAGATAACCAGGTCTTTTCTCCTGTGGAGCTGCTAGGGGAGATCAAACTGCCAAGCTTTCAGTTAGGAGCCAAGTGTTTAACCGTTGAGCCACCACGGTTCCTCTCTCCACCAGGTATACAAAAAAAAAAACAAACCCGTTGCCGTCAAGTCCATTCGAACTCATAGCGACCCTATAGTTCAGAGTAGAACTACCCCATGGAGTTTCCAAGGAGCGGCTGGTGGATTCAAACTGCTGACTTCTGGTTGGCAGCCAACCTCTTAACCACTGTTTCACCAGGGCTCCAGAGTTACTATACGACCCAGCAAGTCCACTCCTAGGTATGAACTCAAGAGAGATGAAGGCATATGTCCACACAAAAACTTGTACATGAATGTTTACAGCAGCATCATTCAGAATAGCCAAAAGGTGGAAACAACTCAAATGGCCATCAGTGGAGGAATGAATAAACAAAATGTATACATCAGCTATAAAAGGGAATAAAGTACTGATATAAGCTCCAACTGGGATGATCCTTGAAAACATTACGTTAAGTGAAAGAAGCCAGTCACAGAAGTCCACATATTATGTGATTCCATTTATATGGAAGTCCAGAATAGGGAAATCTATAGATACAGAAAGGAGAGTAGTGATTGGTTAGAGCTGGGGGGGTGGGGAGGATAAGGAGGTGAAAGCTAAATGAGGTCATGAAAATGTTGTGAATTTGATGCAGAGATTGGTCGCACGTAAGTGTGAATATACCAAAAACCGCCTAATTGTACATTTTAAATGGGTGAATTGTATGGTATGGGAATTGTATCTCAATAAAGCTGTTTTGTTTTTTTTTTTTTAAAAAAAAAAAAAGGAGACAAAGAAATATTGAACACTAAAAAAAAATAAATAAAAGATCAATGTTCCCCAAGGGCAAGAAGTGTCAGGGTCTAGAAAAGGACTGGGAGGAGAGGGACAAAGAAAGGAAGAGTGGTCAAGAACCATGTCTTTGCTTCTGAACCTTTCAATGTGTGTATAATCAAATGTACTAGCAGGCACTTTCAGTAAGGGGTCCTGCAGCTGTCTGGAATCATATTAAGAGACCCCACCAAAAAGCTAGGACCCCTTTACTCTGTGATTTAGCCTCCTTGGCTACACCACTACTTCAGCTGGGCTCAGATGGATGTTGAACCCCTAGGCCGAGGACACCCCCAGCCGGCTGCTGGACCAATCAAATCAGGCCTTCACTGCTGAGCAACCTGCTTTGCACCCCTACCCAACAAAAAGAAGTGTCTGGTTCGTTCAGATGGTTAATGCACTTGGCTGCTAACCAAAGGGTTAGCAGTTCAAGTCCACCCAGAGGCGTCTCAGAAGAAAGGCCTGGTGATCTACTTCTGAAAAATCAGCCATTTGAAAACCGTATGGAGCACAGTTCTATTCTGACACATATGGGGTCACTATGAGTCGGAATTGATGAACGGCAACTGGTTGGTTCTGGTTACCCAGCCAGGAGTCCTTAGGAACAAGAAAAGTGATAAGTGGGGGAAACCTGACCCCAACCCCAGTGCAGGCAGCAAAGCCACTTTTACCTGAAGCCACATGACCAGGGGCAGTTCCGAGAAGTTCTTGCAGGGGTTGGTGGCATAATAGAGCCACCAGAACATGTGGGCATCCTTGCGGACTGTCACATAATCCCATACTTCCTTGCCCTCTTCCGTGGGCCAGCTGAGGACAGCTCCTGAAACAGAAGCACAATTGGATTTCCCTGAAGAAATGTCTAATGTCCAGGTAAATTCCAAGCCTGGTACATGTGGCCATGCTGGGTCAGAGACGAGCTGTCTTAATTACATTTTAGGTGATTTAAATCCACTGCTGTCCAGTCGATTCCAACTCATAGTGACCCTAAAGGACAGAACAGAACTGCTCCGTACAGTTTCCAAGGCTGTAAATCTTTACAAGAGCAGAGTGCCACATCTTTCTCCTGCTGAGTGGCTGGTGGGTTCGAACCATACTTAAATCCTGTAACTTCAATTCCCCTTAGTTAACTTTTCTATCATCTGCAAGCCATTTATCAGAAAAGAGTAGGTTAAATATATTTTCTATCTCACCTTTTGCTAAACCAACAACTTCCAAGTTACAGTTTTTTTTTTCTCTCAAAAGCTACTCTGTAGATAAAAAAAGAGGCTGACGTTAAAAGGTGATGGGAAGTAATCTCATGTTACCTGTATAATTAAAAGTTACCGAAAATGTGTGTCTGTGTGAGAGAATAGCCAAGTAGGCATCTTCTAGCTACATCTGTAATGTTTTAGCCACATGTACAACGTTTTAGCTGTCGTGTTTTGCTCTCTTGGCCACTTTCTGATTTTTGCAACCTCCGTTCTTACTTTTCTGCCTTCTACTTTCTCTAGTGTCAAATTTCAAGCCTCTGGCAAGTAAAAGAACAAAAACTGGTTCCAATAGAGAAGAGATGGGATAGATGAGGAAGAGATAATGTTGTATTGTCAATCGTAAGAACGGAGGTTGCAAAAATCAGAAAGAGGCCAAGAGAGCAAAACACAACGGCTAAAACGTTGTACATGTGGCTAAAACATTACAGATGTGGCTAGAAGATGCCTACTTGGCCACTCTCTGTCACACACATACATTTTAGGTAACTTTCAACACGAGATTACAGTCTCCTTGAAAATGACAGATAAGGATCCGGTCACTTTTGACCCCACCCCTGCACTCCTCCCTTCCCTGGCAGTGACCACTGTTAAAATTTGGGGGACAACATATTTTACATCATTTCTCAGACACAAGCTGAAGGGCCAAATGATCTCTATTTTACGAAAGAGAAAACGAGAACTATTAAGCAACTTGCCTAAGGTCACAAGACAAGTTTGTGGCCAGTTCAAACTCTCAGTTCTTGATCCAGACCAGGAGACATTTTTGTGAGCCATTAAGAGTGAAAAACGTCAAAAGCAGTTTGCAAGTCATCATTTTAAAAAGAATTTATTTTTGCCAAAAAATACCACAGTGCCAGGAGATATTACCTTGTCTGTTCTTATCAAATAGAGGGGAAAAGGCCTTATCTAAATGAAAGATTTCATTCGTGGTAAGACTTTGTCTTTTGACCACGTTTTAGCGCAAAATAAAGACATTATAACCTCATTTAGTAGTCATATCAGGAAAAGGAGGTGGAAACCTCAAGATCGTGGAAACCTCATTGATCAGCAGTTTCCACAAATAATACATTACTGTACAACGGCTTCTACTAGGCATAGGGAGGAAGGGAGGCAACCCTGAGCACAGAATACGGTAGAAAAAGCACTTTGAATTAAACAAACAAAAAAACGGGGGGGGGGGGGGAGTTCAAAATCAATATAATTACACAAGGTAAGACCAGGGAAAAAGAGATTTGTTTTCAAAAGCACAAGCCCACTAACAAACTCTCCTCATCCCTGCAGAGAGAAGGAAACTCTCCTCATCCCTGCAGAGAAAAGGCAGCACCAGCCACTGATGAAACTTGTGCCAGAACGTACCTCCGTTAAGGCTGAGCAGCAGCAGCAGCAGCAGCAGCAGGCGCGGGACGGGGTAAGAACACCGCCCCAGCTCCATGATGAATGCCGTGCAGCAGCATCAGCAACAGGCTGGACCCGGCGCCCCATCACGTGAGGGTGGTGGGCGGGGCCTGAGCCTGGGCGGATCGGAGGCGGAGCCTGGGGGATCGAATGCGGAGTCTGGGCGGGCCAGGGGTGGGGCCTGGGCGGGCCAGGGGTGGGGCCTGGGCGGGCCAGGGGTGGGGCCTGGGCGGGCCAGGGGTGGGGCCTGGGCGGAGTGGCTGGCCGCGTCTCGCGCGCCCTCTGCCGGGCGGCCGATCTGCATCCTTGCAATGGCGCTCGGGTTATTCTTGTCGGACCACGTAGTTCTTTGTGGTTTTGGGGAAAGGACCATGAGGAGGGGCTGAATTTCCGAGGCGTTTAGTACAGTACATTTGAGATGGGTTTGGGTGCGTAGGTTTGGTTTGTGTCACCAGGCTGAGAGGCTACTGAGGAATAACTGCAAGAACGTCCTTTCTGCCCCGCCCGCCTCTTTTTTCCCCAACAAAAGGCCTAAAATTTCAGAAACTGCGGCATCTGCCCCAAATCATATTAAAGCCTGACTCAGCTGTTAGTTGGAAAGTATGATCCCATTTTCAGAGATTTCCTTTTTAAATTCCTTTTCTTTGTAAATTACGTATGTTACGGACATTTTAGAAATTAAAAATATTTCAGATTACACATAATCATTGTTGACATTTGGATTTTTTTCTAGTCTTTTTATTTCTTTTTTAAAACACGATAATAAAAATACTCTTTTTAAAAAAAATCTTGATAGTTTATCATCGACACTATTTTGTGTTACATTGTCAGGACAGTTATTTTAAAGAGGGAAGAAGGGCTTGGGAGGAGAAAGGGAGGAAAAGTGGATGGCTGAGATGTGTGTGTGTGTGTGTGTGTGTGTGTCCGAAGGCTAATTTTATCTTTAAGGGGTACTGAATAACTCGCCTCAGTGAGCTAGGAAACAAAATACAGCCCAGGCTGTATGAGGTCAGATTACTTCTAAATACTACCTTAAAAGTACTGTGTGATGCTCAACGATGTATGTCATTAGGGAATTGCAAATTAAAATAACAATGAGATATCACTACACACCTATATTGTTAGTTGTTAGATGCCTTGGAGTCAATGTCCACTCATAGCAACCCCATGTAACAGAGTAAAACTTCCCTGTAGGATTTTTTAGGCTGTAATCTTTACGTGAGCAGACTGTCAGATCCTTCTTCCACAGAGCTGCTGGGTGGGTTCAAACTCCTAACTTTTCAGTTAGGAGCACCATACCTTTGCACCATCAGTGCTCCTTACAGGACTCTGTGTGTGTGTGTGTGTGTGTGTGTGTGTGTGTGTGTGTGTGCTTTAGATGAAGTTTTACAGTTTTACAGAGTAAATTATTTTCTCACTGAACAATTAATACACATATTGTTTTGTGACATCGGTTGCCAACCCCATGACGTGTCAACACTTGCCCCCTCTTGACCGTGGGTTCCCTATTACCAGCTTTCCTGTCCCCTCCTGCCTTCTTGTCCTTGCCCCTGGGCTGGTGTGCCCATTTAGTGTCATTTTGTATGAGCCTATTGAATCTTTGGCTGAAGGGTGAACCTCCAGAGTGACTTCAGTACTGAGTTAAAAGGGTGTCCTGGGGCCATACTCTTGGGGTTTCTCTAGTCTCTGTCAGACCCAGTAAGTCTGGTCTTTTCTGTTTGTTTAAAATTTTGTTCTCCATTTTTCTCCAGCTCTGTCTGGGACCCGCTATTGTGATCTCTTGCAGATTAGTCAGTGGTTGTAGCCAGGCACCATCTTGTTGTGCTGGACTCAGTCTAGCGGAGGCTGTGGTAGTTGGATTACCACCTTAATCCTTTAGACTAATCTTTCCCTTGTGTCTTTGGTTTTCTTCATTCTCCCTTGCTCCAGATGGGGTGAGACCAGTAGAGTATCTTAGATGACTGCTTTCAAAAGCTTTCAAGACCCCAGACACTGCTCACCAAAGTAGGATGTAGAACATTTTCTTTATAAACTATGTTATGCCAGTTGAGCTATATGTTCCTCGAGACCATGGTCCCCAGCCCTCAGCCCAGTAATTCGGTCCCCCAGGGAGTTTGGATGTCTCTATGGAGCTTCCATGACCTTGCCTTGGTCAAGTTGTGCTGGCTTCCCCAGTATTGTGCACCGTCTTACCCTTCACCAAAGTTACCACTTACCAACAGGATGTTTTGAAGGCAATGAAACTATTCTGTATGATACTGTAATGGTGGACACTGACATTACATATTTACCATATATATATATGCATACGTACATATATGTGTGTGTGTATATATATATATACATATATATACGGATCCCTGGTGACACAGTGGTTAAGAGCATTAGATTACAGGAAAATAAAACTTCCTTTTTAAAAAAATTTCCATGTACCTACTGACTACCAGGAGCCCTGATGGCTGAGTGGTTAAGCGCTCAGCTGCTAACCAAAGGGTAGACAGTTTGAGTCCACCAGCCGCTCCTTGGAAACCCTGTGGGGCAGTTCTACTTTGTCCTATAGGCTCACTATGAGTTGGAACTGACTCGAGGGCAATGGATTTGGATACCTTTTAAAGAGTGGTTCAGTGGTTTTATTTAAATATGCCACTATTCACAATATGCTAGGAATTACACCTTTTGCAACTCTTTTTGATGAAAAATCTTGATACTAAATGCTCGTTGGAAACCCTGTGGAGCAGTCTAGTCTGTCCTCTAGGGTCGCTATGAGTTGGAATCGACTCAATGGCAATGGGTTTGTTTTTTAGAATTCTTTTAGGTATATGAGGGAATATCTTAGAAGACTACTGCTTAGAAGAAGTGCTTGTTTTTCCAGATATTTGTCTAAAATCGTACTTGGCATCGTGATCGGTAGGAGAGAAATAAAGGCATTTTATTTACACTTTAACTTGGCCCTGTCGTGAATGAAATTGAATCGAATCAACCAAGGTCTGCCTTCTTGCAATTCACGAAGCCTGTAGTAGCCACGTGCCACCAACAGGTGGCACTCGTTAAAGGCTCCAGGGATCGGGTCGCCCGAGCACGCCTCACCGTAGCGCTGTGGTATCTTTCGGCTTCCGTTGAGCGCCGAGTAAGATGGCAGCCCCCGAGACGGTTAGACTACGGCTTCAATTTGACTACCCGCCGCCAGTCACCCCGGACTGCACTGTCTTCTGGCTTCTTGTCGACTTGAGCAGATGCCGAGTTGTCACAGATCTTATTAGTCTCGTCCGCCAGCGCTTTGGCTTCAGCTCTGGGGCCTTCCTAGGCCTCTACCTGGATGGGGGGCTCCTGCCCCCCGGCGAGAGCGCGCGCCTGGTGCGAGACAACGATTGCCTCAGGTGTGCGGTGGGTCGGGGGACGGGCCAGGGACGCGCCTGCGCACGCTCGGGGGCGTGAGGACCTGGGGGAAAGCTGGAGACCCCGGAGTGGGTGGGAGGTTGGGGGAGTGGGGCTGGGAGCTTGTGGAAGCGTTGCTGTTAAAAATGCAGATTCGTGAACCCCGGAGATTCTACTTGGTCCAGTCATATACGGTGCTCAGGAATTCTGCATTTTAACGACCATCCCTCCCCGGGATGCTTCTGATGTAGGTGGTTGGAGAACCAAACTTGGAAAAACACTGATCTAGTGTATGGGCAAGGCCCGTGTTTCTTTCAACCTTGATTTAACAAGCCCTCCCTCACTTAGCCAAGCACGGTGCACCTGATGCAGACGTGCCTGAGACCTGGCCTTCCCCTTGGCAGATATCAGGGTCTGGTGCAGGAGATGCAAGTAAACAGAGAGGAACAGTTACGTTTTCATAACGTCCAGGTTGTCCAACCGTAGTTTACCTGCCGTATTCCCTGAGACTTCTGGTAGATGTCATTCTGTGTCGCACCTGGGTGTTTTGGAGTTCACTGAAGTAGGCGTTTGTGTCCTTTAGGTTTGTGAATTGAGAAAACACAAAGTACTTTTAAATGTGCTTTTGGAAATTTTGTACAATGATACTGAGGTGAGCATCGAGGAGCAATTTTTGTGTGAATTGACCATATGTGGTTGATTTCTCTCAATAAAATGGTGAGACATGATCATTACAGTTGAGATTCATATCTTGGACTCATTTATTGGAGGCCTTTTTAATATATCTAAAGCTTCAGCTGCATTGAATTGATTCCAGAGACGTGGACCAGCCTACTTCTCTTCCTTGCTCTTGGTTGTTGTTAAGTATTCCTACCTGCCCCCCCGCCCCCCGCATGTCAGGTTCATAAGATTTCTTCAGAGCATCAGAGAATTTAATTTGGAATAGTTGCTATGTCTTTGAGTGTGTGTCTTTCTCTTAAATCGAGAACAATATGTTTTATTAATAGTGTTCAACTGTTGCTAATGATAATTTGAAGCAGTGTAAATTTCTAAAAGAGTTTTCCTTTTTATTAACTGTGAAATAGATTTTCATTCTCCCTGCAATTCAGGGACTTTTTTAATTGCAAAGATTGTGTCCCCTCCTATTAAGTTTGCTTTCCGAACTGTCCACTGCCTGATGAATTAATAACTTCCCTCTAGATAACTACATTTATACTTAAATTAATGAATCATCTGGGAATTACATTCTTTATATATAATTAAGTTAACAGTGTCAAAAAGAAACCACGAAAGCTGTTACAAAAATAAATACAATACAGTGGCAGGTGAAACTCCTCCAGAGTGCTTCAAATGCACAATTGCATATGGCAGTAAATACCTCTGCAGCTGCCTTTCATGGTAAACAGGGCAGACCTCAGGAAAAAAAAAGGAATTTGGAAAAATATTGTTTATTTGCTTTTGTTGTTTCATGCCCCCAATCATTCTCTGCCTTCTCGCAAACTCACTTTGGGTCTATAGCAGAAAGCATAGTCACTGTTCTCAAAAGTACCTAATATTGTTGAAATAGACCAAAATAACTAGTTTCATGCTTCTGTATATTATCTTCTTTTGTGATGCAGGCAATTAGACTGAATAGTTAGACTGTAATATACTGCTAAGTGCAGACAATGATTGAGAAGGGAGAGATCGGCGTGGAAAATGGCCAGGGGCTTCAACAGTACCTTAAAGGATGAGTAGGAAATGTTGGATCGCCAAAGCACCATTGTGGAGGCAAGAGCTTGCCTGACTTGGTAAAAAGACAAGTCTGACTTGCAGAAGGATTCTATTGGGACTACTGAGAGAAATTTAATTAGGAAAAGTGGAGCCAGATTACACATTTTTAGCCTGAGGAACTGAATTTGATGCAGCATTTTGAGGCTGGAGGCTTGAGAGACATCTCTGTACTTACGTGGGGCCACCGTTTCCTCACAGCCTTAAGCCCCTGAATTTTGACTTCATCAGCTCCCAAGCTGCTGACACTGAGCTCTTGAAGGTGACATCCAGCTCTCCTGGAAGGAGGAAGTACTCCCATTTGCTTAGGGAGATCTCTCTGTTGAAGAATCATTCTGTAAGGAAACAAAGTGCATTCTCTCTTCCCTCGCTCTTTGGACCCTCTGTGGCATTTGGTACCTGATTTAATGTTAGAGATGGGTTCTTTTTTCATATTGTAGTAACTAGTGGCGCCTTGGATATGCAGCCAAGCCCTGGTGAAATGTCTGAGGGCTGGCAGTGGGAGTTAAGAGGGCAAAGTATCTGAACCAGGCTGAGGACAATTTGGTGTCCTGAAAATTTGAGTGCCAGAGAAGAGACTTGCCATTAAAGTTGCCTGGTTCTAGGTTTCTTGAGACTAAATATTATTTCACAGTGTGCCAATGGTTTCTGGGCTACAAAATATTGGCTCCTGCTCTCTGTCTCATATGGAAGAGCATGTTTGCCTAATGCCAATGAGCAGTGAACAGAGACCAATTAAGTTAGACCTTGGCTGCTTTAATTTCCGAAACATTTGTAGTCCCTTCACATCGTTTTATTTTAAAAAGAAAAAAAAGCTTGTAGTTAAAAAAAATTGTACTTCAAAATAGTTCGAAATAAAAAGTCCTTCATTTCTCTTCTCATAATGTTTCTCCCACACTCCACTCTCCAGAAGTATCTTCAATTAGGTTTGGAGTACATCTTTCTAGTTTCTTTTTATACAGATGCAGACATACATATTTATACTTTTCTTTTTAATTAATGATTTTTTTTTTATATTTTATTGTACTTCAGGTGAAGGCTTACAGAACAAATAGTTTCTCATGAAACAGTAGTACACATGTTGTTTTATGTTTAATTAATGATTTTTTAGAGCAGTTTTATATTTACAGAAAGATTAAGCAGATAGTACAGAAATCCCATATGCCTCTTTACCCTCTCACATACTGTTTCCTCTATTATTAACATCTTGTGTTAGTGTAGTACCTGTGTTCCAATTGATGACCCAAAGTTGATGTATTATTATTAACTAAATACTTACACTTTTTAAATACAAATGTCATCATAACATACATATTGTTCTGCACCTTACTTTTTTCCATAACATATCATGGGTATCTTTCATTTCACTATTCTAAATATATAATAGTTCATTCGAGAACTATGATTATTGTCGTTATCCTCATTTTAGGGTCCTGCACATTTTAGGATTAGCTATTGCCATTTCATGGAGGAACAGAATTGTTTCCTGTAGTGAAATATTTTGGATGAAGCATCGTGGAATTTTATAGATGGCTCTGACCACACCAGAAAACATAAATTGTTTAGTATTAAATTGAAACAAAATAAAACCATTTGATTTTCAAAAAAGGAGTCTACATTTCAAAATAAAAATGAGTACTCAGCATTATCACCTTTTGGAGTAGGCAACATAATATAATAGAAAGATTGTGAGCTTTGAAGTTAGACAAACTGCGTTTGAATCCCATTACTGCTACTTATCAGCTGTGGGTCTTGGGCACGTTACTTGTCTGAACAGTAATTTTGTGATCTATAAGATGAAAGACCTACTTTGTGATCTGTAAGAAAGGTGATGTTTATATTAAAGAAAACACATAGAAGATGTTTGGGATGCAGTGGATATTCAATAAATAAAACTAGTCAGTTGAAAGTTGACCATAAGTGCCATGTAGGCCATTTTGTCAAAAAGATTCTTTTGTCCTTAAGCAATTTGACAATTTTTCATTGACTGATGGTAATGGCAGTTTACAGAATCACCTCCGTATATAAATAACTACATCTTGCGACGTGCTTCTGAATTACTCACTCTAGCTATCTCTCTTGTTCTTTCGGCAGAGTTAAATTAGAAGAGAGTGGAGTTACTGAGAGTTCTCTAATAGCCAGTAATGGTGACAGTACTACTGTATTACCTAGAAAAACAAAGAAGCGGGCATTTAAGTTGGAGGAGGATGAAGAAGATGAACTAGGTTACAAATATTCAAGGAAGCATTGGAAGAAGCAAGAGAACAACAACAATAATGAGAAGACCCTGGATCTGGAACCAAAAGCTGTCATAGATCAGAACGTGAGGAAAAAAAACAAGAGGAAAAACAAAGCAACATGTGAAGTAGAGGGTGATGATGCAGAAGAGACCAGAAGAAAATCACCAAAGAAAAAGGAGAAAGGTGAATGTAAAAGACAGATAAAGAATCCCAAGCCTCCTAAAGCACAGACAGTGAAAGAGTGGACCGTCCAGAACTGTAGTCCTCCAAAAGGTTCGCCTGGTAGAAACAGCCTTGTTAAAGCCAAAAAGAAAGGTGGGATAGGCATTTGTACAAAAGATAGCCCTAGTTCCTCCTCAGAGTCTGAGTCTTCTCACGAGTCAACCAGTGATGGTCTCAGCAATGTTGTTTTAGAGGTCAGAAAGTCCTCAGAGAAAGTATCAACTGAGTTATCAAAGGAAGGACCCTCTGCGAAAAACACAACTACAAACAAACTGCTTACAAAAACTAGCTTCAGTCTTTCCCCCATCAAGGGCAAGGCAGCGAAAACATCATCTTCTAGTTCAGACTCCAGTTCAGAGTCAGATGACCAGAGCACAATGTCACAGAGACCCGCGGAGCGTGCTGCAGGTTGCTTAAAGACAGTGGGCCTCTTAGCAGGAAGAGGTTTTCCAGGGCCAGGGTCATCGGCACAGACTCCAAGTGCTACTGGATGGAAGCATTCTGATTCAAATGGTGGCAGACAAGCTCCTGGTCCTCCTCCCAACTTGTCTCTCCCCACCAGTGTGGGAAGAGGATTGGGTAGAGGAGAGGACCTTCTTTCTTGGAAAGGAGCTAGGGGTCGGGGAATGCGAGGGAGAGGGAGAGGGCGAGGGCAAACCATTCCCTGTGTTTTAAATAGAAACAATGAATATCAGAAGCAGCAGCAATTAAATGAAGTGATAACAAACTCATCTACTGTTATCCAGGTAAGTATTGTTTATCTCCTCACCTTTACCTTCCACCTGGTGTAGTGTGTCTGGAGTCGATTTCATGGGTTCAGACTTTCTCACCAGTAACAAAGTCACATGACTAATACTGTCTTTTCAGAATCCCGTAGAGATACACAAGAAGGACTATAGTATGTTACCACAGTTAGCAGCTGCCCCTCAAGTTGGAGAAAAGATTGCATTTAAGGTATGTGTAAAAACAACAACAGCTACAGCAAAAAAGGTTAATTTTCCCTCCAAATAAACTTACTTAGCCAGTAAGGTTAAATAGATTTAATATATAAATTAAATGATAAATATGTATTAATATATAAATTGAATTTCGTAGAGGGGCAGTTGATATTTTCACTGGAACCCCTGCTTTGCTGCAGGTTCATGGTAAGGTCCCCAGAGTGATGGAGGTGGGCACCCCAACACAACGTGTTTCCTCATGGCTGGGCGGGAGGAGCCGTGGGAATGTGTGAATTTAAGAGGGACTTGTATATTTATGTATTTTAAAATTGTTTTTAGCTTTTGGAACTAACATCTGATTACTCTCCTGATGTCTCTGATTATAAGGTATGGCTGTTTATTTAAAAATAATTGAGTTGTCAGTGTATAGAAGAAACTGAAATCATATTTAATGCTACTTTTATGGGTAACCTAGATTTTTTTTTTGAGTAAGTAATGTCATAAAGTAAAAAATAAAAACATTAAGATATAAACTCTCTAATCATATCTCCCAGTGTTATTTTCCTCACACTTGGGAAGACTGTTGAATGAGAATGATGAGCTTAATCTTTTTTTAGTCACTTTTTCCTAATCAGCTTAGAAGCACAGACTTATCTGAGTACCTCCCCACACCATGATCCTAAACTTTGAAAGAATATAATATATACCTTTCAGCCAGAAAATTTGATTTTCGTCATAGGAATCCATTTTACATATTTATGAATTATTACTGGTTTTTACGCTCTAATACGAGCCCTGGTGTCGCAGTGGTTAAAGCGCTCAGCTACGGACCAAAAGGTCAGCAGTTTGAACCCACCAGCCGCTCCTTGAGAGAAAGATGTGGCAGTCTGCTCTCATAAAGATTTACGGCCTTAGAAACTCTATGGGGCAGTTCTACTTTGTCCTATAGTGTCTCTGTGAGTCGGAATTGACTAAACACCAGCGGGTTTGGTTTTGGTTTTGGATGTTCAAATGTGGTTTCTTTTGCATTGTTGGTTAACTACAGGTAATTCCCATATATCATCCTTAGAATTTACTCACTTAATGTCTGTGTGGGACTTCATGTTAGCACATGAGCTTTATCACAATTCAGTAAAAGCTTGACTCAATCAAAGGGATCACAGAATTACATATTTCCTTCCCTTTTCCACCTATTCACAATTTTTTTGAAAATCTTATTCAAATATATACGTTCTTTTTATGGTGAATACTGTGATGGTCAGTCCTCAGTTGAATAATACAGCATCCTAGCATATTATTTTCCTCCTCCTTTTCTCTTCATCAGTCACTTTTGGTAACCTAGTGTACTTGTATAACCTGTACTTTTCTTATAGTCCTTCAGATTGGTGTCTACCGTTTATGATTTAAATGTAACTGTTTTGCCTTTGGGAGTCCCTGGGTGGTACGAACTGTTAACAGGCTCAGCTGCTAACCAAAAGGTTGGAGGTTTGAGTCTACCCAGAGGCAGCTCAGAAGAAAGGCCTGGTGATCTACTTCCAAAAAATTAGCCATTAAACACCCAATGACACACATGGAGTTTCCATGAGTTGGAATTGATTTAATGGCAACTGATTATTTTGCCTTTGAGAGAATTTCTATATATTCAAATAGAGGGTTTATCCGTCCACATGTTTATTTTTAAGTTTTTTTTATTTTTTGAAGTTTTTTTTTTTTTTTTGTACTTCAGGTGAAGGCTTACAGAACAAATAGTTTCTCATGAAACAGAAGTACACATGTTGTTTTATGACATTGGTTAACAACCCCACAACATATCAACCCTCTAACTTCTCAACCTTTTTTTTTTTTGGTGAAAATACACATAGCCAAAGATACACCATTTCAAAAATTTCTACATGCACAGTTCAGTGACATTGACTATGCTCTTCGAATTGTGCTGTTATTCTCACTTAAGATGAATGCTTACAGAGCAAAATAGTTTCTCATTTAACAGTTACTACAAATGCTGCCCTATGACCACATGTTTATTTTTATTTCCCCTACATGTTGATTTATTTTTAAATTTTTTTATTGAAATAAAATTCACACAACATAAAATTCACCTTTTTAACCATTCGAAAGTGTATATTTCAGTGGTTTTTTAGTATATTCACAACAGACATGTTGATTTTTGACTTGGACTTTTATTTTTGAAAGGAAGGAAAAATATTAAGCCACAATCCAGAGACCCAGCAAGTTGATATAGAAATCCTTTCATCTTTACCTGGTAAGTCTTTTAGAAAAGTGTTTGAAAATATAGGCTTTTCATATCTACAGTGGTTTCTCAACAGCTTCATGCACAGGAGGCACTCTCTTCACTGGCCCCATGATTAACTGGTGCCCTCCACTCCCTCTGCCAGCCCGCTGCCGCTCTGGGGCCTGCACTCCTGTTCCCGAGAGTGGAATTGTGTGTCTACTGAGAGCCTGTTGGATTTGTTCCCAAAGCTGTTAGGCTAGTAGTTCTTATTACTATAATTATGTAATTTCATAAATTATATAAACTGATGTAAATTGATTGCAAGAAAAGAATTATGTCTATGAAACCTAAGTTGAATGCTCACTCAGAAGTGTTGATAAAAAATTGCTGTTGAATTATGTGTGAGCAGATCAGCTGTAAAAGGGGAAAATTGTGTAAAAATCTAGGAGAACTCTGCACTCAGATTCCCTTGCAAATTTCTGCATTCTTGCATCACTTTAAAAAACCAAAACTGGAAATTGTGGCAACTACAGATAATAGATTAAGAGTATGGTTTATAAAAGACAGGCATCTCTGATCAGTGGTCTTATACACATAGAACTACTCAGTCGTATTTTAAAAGATTGGCAAGTGAACATACTTTTGAGTGTTAAGTCAAAATGTCTGAAGTGTTTGAGTATACACACTCTCTTACACACATTATTGTTTTAAATGGTTCCTCCTTTATTCCTGAGTAACTCTACCCATGATGGGTTCTGAAAGCCTGGAATAAGAGATCTTTACTGTATATGACTGAATTCTGGACTGTGTTTTAGAGATCCCTGGCCAGAGAGCAGGGGAGGTCTCTTTTTCTTTGGCAGACCCTAAAGCAATTAATTTTTTTCTTTTTGTTTTTAAATAAGCTAGTGAGTAGAAGATTTGAAACTCCAATAGGCAGAAACCAATCAAAAGGTTTTTCAACAAATTCTCTTCATGATATTAAGTAAAAAATTAGATATATTGGTTTTCCAGCTTCTGATTAGGTTTTATTTGTAGAAATCCTTCTTCTTAGGAGTAGTGAACTGAGACGTTTGTCTGTGGTCTGGCTCCGTGGACACAGCTTGATTACTTCTTGTCAGATGATTGGCAGTAATGACATCCAATTAGAACTTTTCTTCTTTAGGGCACCAAGAAATTCCTTTACTTGTTCCCTAATAGAAATTCAGGCGGTCTTTGCTTTGCATGGTTCCAATATGCATGAATTTTAGTTACTGTGATTTAGTTAAATAATACCAGTCCCCCAACAACATAGTTCAAATTTCAGTCACCATGGTATGTTAACGTGAGTAATTGAATAAAGTACTGCTAACTCTTCAGCCCACAAATCACTACATAAACAACAGATGCACATCGTGATCACTGACCAATCACAGCACTTCTTTCAATGTCTGTCAGTGATTGGTCACTGCGCATCTGTTACTCAGTTTATGCACAGACAGCAGAGCTTATAGTTGTGTTGCCTTCTTGTCTCTTAGTGATAAACCCACATGACATTTTACAAAATTGAAAGAGGGAATAATTGAAAGGGAGAATGATCAACAAAGATGAAAGCTCAGCAAAGAAACAAAAAGGGATAATGTTGGAATTGAAATTCGAATTGAATCTAAATGGAGTTTAGAAGAAATAGCTAACTGTGGGAATGCTGACACTGCTGTTTGTGTGAACTTATTGACATAAATGAGGAAAGTGGTTGTGACGAAAAGAATGACGATGTCTCAGAGGAAGTTACGCTAGCAAAACACATTAAAGAAACTTGGTGAGATAGTTCATGACATTAAAAGTGCAAAGGATAAAATGTTGGAAGCTGATCCAAATTTAAAAAAGAGGATGACAGTTTTCCAAGGCATAGAATAATAGATGCTTGCTGTGTAGTGTAAGTTATATAACAAGAAGGCAAGCATTGTTCAAATACCCTTGATAAGGTTTTTACTAAGAAGTAAAACACTTTAGTTCTCAGTGTTTCTAATGGTTTAAATTGCAGTATCCTCTGTAAATATTAGTTTTCCTATTTTTTTTTAATTTCCCTATACAGTAAAATTTTTTAATGTTTTGCCAAAAAAAAGGTTGTAGAACAATTATGCTAATTTTTCTCATTAATTATTTAGGTTGCTTTGCATAGTCCTTTTTACATTCTCACACTACCATGCAAAACGAGGACTGCCTGTATCATTAAGTAGTAAGCATGTATAATTTCTGAGGACAGAGCAAGATGTAAGAATTTTGCAGAATGTTTTATATTATTCATCCTTGTTGAAACATAGAAGTTGTCTTTTGAGATTAAAGTAGCTGAGGCCTTGTGGTTCCATATTCTAGGAGTAGGGTACTAGTGACAGTTTATCAAGCTCATTTCTTTCCAATGATGGAAAGATCACCTCTGGCAAATAGCCAAGAAGCCCCCGTCTGCTAATCCAGGGTTTTCTAAGGGTCTTCTGAGCACTGCCTGCTTTCAGGTACATACCCAGCCTTCATGTCGATTAACCATTTGTTTGTGGTTGTTTTTCTAATGGTATAAATTCCCTGTAGAGGAACATTTTAATTACTGGAAATGACTTACTGTCTCTCCTCCTTACCTTCTGGTTTTAGCCGTGAAAGAACCTGGAAAATTTGATTTGGTTTATCACAATGAAAATGGAACTGAGGTGGTGGAGTATGCTGTGACTCAGGAGAAGAGGGTAGGCTGGCTTCTTACGACTGCTCGATCATACATTCTCTCTCGACTAATTACCTGTGGTCTGGAAGGTGACACTGCAACTTCCTGAACTGCCTGTATTAAAACCATAAAGGATCTAGGCCCTGAGGGACTCTGGTCTGCCTAAGAGGTGGCAGACTAATACCCAATGCCAAACTAAGGCCCTGTCTTGGGCCTTAAAGAGCCTACATGGCAAGATGCACAAATAGCAAACTCTTGTTTAAGAATGTAGAGAGTTGCTTTAATGGGAGGATTTTTATAGGCTTCCAAGAGAAAAGAGTAGCATATTTTTAAAGCTTTTCATTGAAGTGTACATTCATAAAAGTACACATATCATAAGTGTACAACTTGGACGATTTTCACAAATGAACATAGCCACGTAACCACCCAGATCAAGAAAAAATAGAACATTAAAAGCCTCCCAGAAGCCCTTTTTATGCCCCCTTCTTGTCACTAACACCCCCCCCCCGCCATGTTACCAATGTTCTGACTTGTAACAGCATCATTTTGAAGAAGGACATAAATGACAGTTCTATCCTTGACTTTGTTTAAATCCTTAAATTGTCATTTTAGAAAGTATTATATATGGTTTAGACCGTTTTTAGGCACCCCTGACTGCCGCAGTTGCTGCCGTGCCTGGCTCGTTAGGTTGTGCTAGCATTAAAGTAAATAGAATTTATGTTTAAGAAAATGCTTTCTGTTTAGGTCTTATATATTTGAAATGTTAATGGATATTATTCTGTAAGTTTCAGTGTTGCAAACTTACATTTTATCTAAAATGCAAACTTGCAGAAATCCTAACCAGACTGTATGTTTTATTTCGTCTAGGCTATATGACTCTTGAGGATCTATTCCCAAAACACATTTTTAGTGTTTGTATTAAGATCAGTAGATTTTCCAGATATGTGCATCCCCACTTTTTAATTGAAATATATCCCTGGAAACTGCATTGGAAAATTAAACCTTGGAGGCTTTCCTCTTTGGCCTATTAATAAACAGAGACCTGAAGTACAGTAGAAAGCCTGTAATTACCTTGTCTTGACACTAGATGGCCTTCATTTTTCATCCAGAAAGCCAAGGGTTAGAATTTGCTTTCTCTTTGTAAAATGTGAAATGCCTCCTGTATTTAGGCAGCATAGGATCAGAACTACAGAGCTACTAAAAAAGACATCAGCAATCTGGCGATACCCTATCTGGTTCTAACTCCCAAGAGGTCTGCGAGCTGCCTCTCCACCAGGGGTTTGTTGGGGCATGTCCTTCTGACCGTTTTGTACCCTGTTTCCCCCATCCCTTGTTCTAAATCAAAGAAAGATGAAATATTTTTAATGTAAAATTTAGCTGCATTTTAGGTAAATGAGTTCTTATGCCTTAATTTAACTCATTTTATTCTAGGACTCAACTATACTAGTTCTTCAACCATTCCATTCTGCACAAATAGAAATTTACTTGACTAAAGATTTTAACTTTCTAAGAGGAGCCCTGGTGGTGCAGTGGTTAAGAGCTTGGCTGCTACCTGAAAGATTGGCAGTTCAAACTCACCAGCTGCTCTGAGGAGAACGATTTGGCAGTTTACTTCCGTAAAGATTTACAGCCTTAGAAACCGTATGGGGCAGTTCTACTCTGTCCTGTAGGGTTGCTATGCGTCGGAATTAGCCTTGATGGCAGTGGGTTTGGTTTTGGTTTTGGATGTGACTTCAAAATGAAGTCTCTAAATTGAGTATTTTATATTTTTCCTCAGATCACTGTGTTTTGGAGAGAATTGATTGATCCAAGACTAATTGTTGAATCTGCAAGTAACACATCAAGCACAGAACTTGCCTGAGTATGACCTCTCCACCTCATAGTTTATAAATGTCTTGTTTGTGAAAGTGACTATAATCTGAACTTTTTTAAAAAAGACAATTTGAAAATTGTATGCATTTTTTGTTATCTTCACCTTACTGCATAGGAAAAAAATCTACCTCATCATTTAAAATAACATGGGTGTTTGTTTTGTAGACTTTTTTTTTTTTCTGGTTTAACGTCAGTAGCAAAGTTTAAATATGACATTCCCTGCAGGCATCATTACATACTAATATGTATGGTTTCTTCTCTCTTTTTGTTTTTTCTGGCCATCAAGTAGCAACCGTCAGTAGGAGTCTATAATACCAAGTACAAGAAAGCGCTGCACATCTTGTCTCATGAAGTTATATTAAGTAACACTTTTAAATGTTAAGGCATGTTACTTGACCTAATTTTTTTAACATTTGAATTGTTCCATTTAATGTGGAACATCTTCTAAATTTCAAGTATTTTATACTTGCAATTGTCAAGAGTTAATAGGTGGTTGGATTTGTTGAAGGCACCAAGTTAAGGAATCCTGATCACATTTTTCTCAACTTTAAAATTAAGGATTCTGAGGGCCCTTTGTAGAGCTGTGAAGATAATATTTCGTGTACGTGCCTGAGGAAGAACTGGTGCTCTACTTGGGTGAGAAGGGTGTATTTACTATGAGCTTCAGTCCAGGGAATGTGTTACTTGTCAGAAGATCCCGAGCACCTGGCTGAGCATGCTGGAGTCAGGATCTTGAACAAAAACGTCCTCTTCTGTTCTTATTCAACACAAAGCTAAAATGGCTAAATATATACTGTGAAAATTGCTTTCTTCTAACAAAACATCAGATCCCTCCTTCAGCTTTGCAAATTTTTGAATAAAATCATATTGAACTAAACTTACATGCTGAGTCATCATGTTTAGTTGAGTATTGCAAATCTACTTGTTTTACAATAATGCAAGAGATTCCAATTTTCTGTAACAAGAAGATTTGCCTTGACTAAAGCGTTTGATCTCCAGAGTATGGGCCAATGGAGTTCATCAGATCCGGGAGGCTTTGGGCCAGTGAAGATGCTGTCCAGTTTTAATTTGCATGACATTGATGTGTATCAGAATGTGGCTGTATTGATTTGTAATGAGAAGTATTACTTCAAAAAGAGTGAGATTGATGTGAATGATGGATCTTGGCACTGGGGCTCTTGCGTAAAAACCAAAACCAAACCCATTGCTGTTGAGTCGATTCCGACTCATAGTGACCACATGGGGTTTCCAGGGAGCCACTGGTGGATTTGAACTGCCAACCTTTTGGTTAGAAGCTGTAGCTCTTAGCACACTCTTTTTCCAGGGTTTGGGAAACATATTAAGATAACTAATAAACATTGACTAGAACAAAGGAAGTGTTGACCTCAGTGTGTGTTTTCCTTAAATGGTAATCAGCTCATGAGTCACCTCTTTGCTCTGTAGTGGTGTTTTTCACACTAGAAGGAGAAAGGTCATAAAATCAATTTGGTGGGTCATGACCAGCTTTTTTAAGAATGAAATACAATAGAAGGATAGTGCACCACATCCAATAAATTAAATTTGCTTTAGGAAACTTTTGTTTCATCTGCAGATAGCCATGTGTGTACTGGATCACCAAGTAAAATATAAATATATTTCTTACTGCTTGAAATAGGGATATTATTGTCATGTTACCCTCAGACTTGGAAACTCTAAACTCTACCATTTACCCCAGAGTGAGATAGAAAAAGAGGGGAGATGAAAACAAAGGTACTGAGCTAGAAGTACATGTTGCTGTTGTTGTTAGGTGCCATCCAGTCTGTTCTGACTCACCGTGACCCTGTGTACAACAGAACAAAACACTGCCCAGTCCTGCACCATCTTCACAATCTTTGCGATGCTTGAGCCCATTGTTGCAGCCACTGTGTCAATCCATCTTGTTGAGGATCTTCCTCTTTTTCGCTGACCCTCCACTTTACCAAACATGATGTCCTTCTCCAGGGACTGGTCTCTCCTGATAACATGTCCAAACTACATGAGACAAAGTCCCGCCATCCTTGCTTCTAAGGAGCATTCTGGCTGTACTTCTTCCAAGACAGATATGTTTGTTCTTCTGGCAGTCCATGTTATATTCAGTATTCTTTGCCAACACCATAATTTAAAGGCATCAATTCTTCTTCGGGCTTCCTTATTCATTTTCCAGCTTTCGAATGCATGTGAGGTGATTGAAAATACCATGGCTTGGGTCAGGTGCACCTCAGTCCTCAAAGTGACATGCTTGCTTTTCAACACTTTAACGAGGTCTTTTTGCAGCAGATGTGCCCAATGCAATGCGTTGTTTGATTTCTTGACTGCTACTTTCATGGGGCATTGATTGTGGATCCAAGTAAAATGAAATCCTTGACAACTTCAGTATTTTCTCTGTTTATGATTATGTTGCTTATTGGTCCAGTTGTGAGGATTTTTGTTTTCGTTTTGTAGAGATAACAATCCGTACTGAAGGCTATAGTCTTTGATCTTCATCAGTAAGTGCTTCAAGTCCTCTTCACTTTCAGCAAGCAAGGTTACGCCCTCTTCATATTGCAGGTTGTTAATGACTTTTCCTCCAGTCCCAATGCCACATCCTTCATATAGTCCAGCTTCTCCGATCGTTTGCTCAGCATACAGATTGAGTATGGTGAAAGGATATAACGCCGACGCACAACTTTCCTGATTTTAAACCACACATTCAGTTATTGCCTTGTTCTGTTTGAATGACTACCTCTTGGTCTATGGACAGGTTTCAAATGAGCACAATTAAATGTTCTGGAATTTCCATTCTTCACAATGTTATCCATAATTTGTTATGATCCACATAGTCAAATGCCTTTGCATAGTGAGTAAAACACAGGTAAACATCTTTCTGGTATTCTCTGCTTTCAGCCAAGATCCTTCTGACATCAGCAATGATATCCCTCATTCCATGTCCTCTTCTGAATCTGGCTTGAACTTCTGGCACTTCCCATTCTGTTGGATCACCTTTCTTCGTAATGGGCACAAATATGGATCTCTTCCAGTTGGTTGGCCAGGAAACTGTCTTCCATATTTCTTGACACAGACAAGTGAGCACCTCCAGTGCTGGCATCTGTTTGTTGAAACATCTTAACTGGTATTCTGTCAATTCCTGGAGCCTAGTTTGTCGCCATTCCCTTCAGTGCAGCTTGGACTTCTTCCTTCAGTACCATCAGTTCTTGATTGTATGCTGCCTCCTGAAGTGGTTGAATATCGACCAATTCTTTTTGGTACAGTGACTGTATTCCTGCCATCTTCTTTTGATGCTTCCTGCAGCGTTCAATATTTTCCCTGTAGAATCCTTCAGCATTGCAGCTTGAGGCTTGAATTTTTTCTTCAGTTCTTTCAGCTTGAGAAATGCTGAGTGCATTCTTCTCTTTTGGTTTTCTAACTCTGGGTCTTTGCACATTTCATTATAATACTTTACTCAGTCTTCTCGAGCCACCCTTTGAAATCTTCTGTTCAACTCTTTTACTTCATCATTTCTTCCATTCACTTTAGCTACTCTACATTCAAGAACAAGTTTCAGAGTCTCTTCTGACACCCATTTTGGTCTTTTCTTTCTTGTCTTTTTAATGAACTTTTGCTTTCTTCATGTATGATGTCCTTGATGTCATTCTACAACTTGTTTAGTCTTTTGTTGTTAGTGTTCAGTGCATCAAATCTATTCTTGAGATGGTATCTAAATTCAGGTGGTATCTTAGTTTGCTGCTATATCAGAAATACCACAGGTGGATGGCTTCAACAAACAGAAGTTTATTCTCTCACAGTCTAGCAGGGTACAAGTCTGAATTCAGGGCATCAACTCCAGGGGAAGGCTTTTTCTCTGTTGGCTCTGGAGAAAAGTTCTTGTCATCAACCTTCCCATGGTCTAGGAGCTTCTCTGAGTAGGAACCCGGTCCAAAGGATGTGCTCTGCTCCCGGCACTGCTTTCTTGGTGGTGTGATGTCCCCCACTCTTCTGCTCGCTTCTCTTTTTTATATCTCAAAAGAAATTGGCTTAAGACACAATCTCATCTTGTAGATTGAGTCCTACCTCGTTAGTATAACTGCTAATAATCCCATCTCATTAACATCATAGAGATAGGATTTACAAAACATAGAAAAATCACATCAGATGACAAAATGGTGGACAGTCACACAATACTCGGAATCATGGCCTAGCCAAGTTGACAGATATTTTGGGGGGACACAATTCAATCCATGACACGTGGGATATACTCAAGGTCGTATTTTGGCTCTTGTGGACTTGCTCTAATTTTCTTCAGCTTCAACTTGAACTTGCATATGAGCAATTGATGGTCTGTTCCCCAGTCAGCCCCTGGCCTTATTCTGTTGAGCTAATCCATTGCCTCTTTCCACAGATGTAGTTGATTTGATTCTCGTACATTCCATCTGGCGAGGTCCACGTGTATAGTCGCCATTTATGTTGGTGAAAAAAAGTATTTGCAATGAAGAAGTCCCTGGTCTTTCAGAATTCTATCGTGCAATCTCCAGCATCATTTCTGTCACCAAGGCCATATTTTCCAACTACTGATCCTTCTTCGTTTCCAACTTTTGCGTTCCAATCACGAGTAATTATCAATGCATCTCCATTGCATGTTTGATCAATTTCAGCCTGCAGAACTTGGTGGGTATCTTCAATTTCCTCATCTTTAGCATTAGTGGTTGGTGTGTAAATTTGAATAACAGTTGTATTAACTGGCCTTCCTTTAGGCATATGGACATTATCCTATCACTGACGGTGTTGTACTTCAGGATAGGTCTTGAAGTGTTCTCTTTGATGATGAATGCAATGCCATTCCTCTTCAGTTTGTCATTCCCAGCATAGACCATAGATTGTCCAAATCAAAATGTCCAATACCAGTCATTTCAGCTCACTAATGCCTAGAATATTGAACTTTATGCAGTCCATTTAATTTTTGACTACATCCGATTTTCCTAGATTCATACTTCGTACATTCCACGTTCTGATTATTAATGGATGTTTGTAGCTGTTTCTTCTCATTTTGAGTCATGCCACGTCAGCTAATGAAGGTCCTGAAAGCTTGACTCCATCCATGTCATTAAGGTCTACTCTACTTTTCCCCAGTGGTATTTTGAGTCCCTTCCAACCTGAGGGACTCATCTTTTGGCACTATACCAGACAGTGTTCCACTGCTATTTGTAAGGTTTTCAGTGGCCAGTTTTTTCAGAAGTAGGCTACCAGGTCCTTCTTCCCCATCGGTCTTCGTCTGGAAGCACTGCTGAAACCCGTCCATTATTGGTGACCCTGCTGGTATTTGAAATACCAGTGGCATAGCTTTCAGCATCACAGCAACACGCAAGCCCCCACAGTACAACAAACTGACAGACATGTGGGGAAGAAGTATATGGAGGGCCTAAATCTTTGCCTCACTCTCCTGGACTGGAGGACCAGAAGCACTATTCTAGATGAAGAAAATAGTAAGTACTCAAAATTTCAGCTATTACTTTATAGGACTATTCTATGGACTTAAAGTATTATTTAATTACTGTCAACCTAGTGTTGAAAAACATGCCAAAGACAACCCACCTAGCAGAGGGAGAGTCTGATGTAACTTCAGAGCAATGTTCTCTTTCCAGGTGTTTTGATGGCTGTCCCTAAAGTGGCTCTGCCCTGACCTGAAGTGTTAGCAGCAGCAGAGCAGTTCATATTTCCCCCTGTGCTGCCATTATCTTCGGGAACATCAGCCCTCTGGCTAATTACCTTTCTTCCCTGTGACTCAGTTTTGCCCATCTTCAGATTGTTTACACACCATTAAATTCTAAACTTCTGCTTTAGTTCTCAGATATTCAACTCTGTATAAAAAGACTCCCACCCTGGCTTAGTCAGTCCACTATCCCACTGGATCTTTTTTCCCTTCTTGTGAAACCTTCCAGCTTTCCAGCTCCATCCATATCACTGGTACGATTGGTCTCCTCTTTGCTGTCTTCATCTTGGACTCTGTGGTTGGTAACTTAATTGCCATCCTCTTAACTTTTTTTAGCCACATGGAAACCTGGACCAGGTGGATCATTCACTCCCTACCCCTTTAACTGTCCTGAAGGGATGACATCACAAAAACTTTTCACAGGTGGAAGAACTAGCCTACTCGAAATCTGGGTACTATTAGGTTCTAATTTTCAACTTCCTAATTTTTTTTTTTTTGTTTTAAATTTTGTTTATTGTTGAGAATATACACAGCAGAACATACACCAACAGTTTCTGCATGTACGATTCAGTGACACTGATTACATTCTTCTAGTTGTGCAGTCATTCTCATCCTCCTTTTCTGAGTTGTTCCTTCCCCATTAACATAAATTCACTGCCCCTCAAGGTTCCTATCTAATCTTTCAAGTTGCTGTTGTTAATTTGATCCATATATAAATAGTTCTTTAAAAAGCATAGTGCTCAAGGCAGACATTCTTTAGTAGGTAAGCTAAACTATTGTTTGGTTTTAAGAAGACTTCAGGGGATGTTTTTGGTTTAAGGTTTAAAGATTATCTCAGGGCAA